GGTATCACCTACTCTGGCATTGCACCTCTTATCCTCGGTTTCGCCACGATTGGCTTTTCCCTCATCTACATTGCCTTTAGGTACAACTTCCTTTACGTGTATGAGACCAACCTGGACACCAAGGGCGAAGCCTACCAGAAGGCCCTCCGCCAGCTTATGACCGGTATCTACCTGTCTGAGATCTGCCTGATCGGTCTGTTCGCTATTGCCACGGCCAAAAACATCCAGGCCGTCGGTCCCTTGGCCATCATGTGCCTGCTCCTCTTCCTCACCCTCGTCTTCCAGTTCACTCTGAAATTCGCCCTGAAGCACGAGGAGGCTCGCCTGGCCTACACCGACCCATCACCTGCCCACGGCAGCGTCACCAACGGCCACCACGAGGACGGCATGCACACACAGAACGGCGAGAAGGTACACACCACCGATGCCACCCCCAGCTACGCACCCAAGGCCACTCGCATGCCCGGCTTCCTAGCCAAGATGTTCAACCCCGAGAAGAACTCGATCCACAACCTCTCCGCGTCCCTCGACCAGTTCTACCACCACCCGCAGGAGCCGCTGCCCATGGAGATCCAGAAGCGCGCCTTCTTCAACCCCTCCGTCACCAGCCCCACACCCGTGATCTGGATCGTCAAGGACGACATGGGCATCAGCACGCGCGAGATCAGAGACACGCAGAAGACCGTCCCCGGCCTCGTCATCACCGATGAGCAGGCTACCTTCAACGAGAAGGGCAAGGTGTACTGGAAGGGTGTTGAGGACGGTCACTCGCGCGAGGCACCCGTCTTTGACGAGCGTATTGTTTACTAGTGGATGGTCTTGTTTCATTTCAGCTAATGACGATGGAGTTCGATACCCAAAAAAGGGATGGAAACGTTTTTCCTTGGCTTGTTTTTGCGGATGAGGCAGAGCAGCGATGGCGAATGAGGCGTGCTTTTTCAATTCCATAAATGAGTACCCCTGCTACTTTAGCTATATAGTTCCTAGTAATGATCACTGAATTGCGTATTCAATCTGAAGATATACATGTCTGTGCGCTTTGTGTGATGATGCTGTTCAGTGGCTCTGCGTAATGGTGTGTATTGGGTATCATGCAACTATGCTCCTCACTCGATGGTGATGAAATTTTTCAAACCGCGCCTGCCCTCCTCTTCTCCAAAATCTGCAGCTTCAACCCTTCCGCCGCGACCTCGGTCTCCAGAACTCTTCCTACACCCTTCTTCCACGTCTCCTCGAGCGTCTTGAGCTCAGCACCCGCGCTGTCTTGCTGCGCCCTCCTCGCCATCTCCACCTCTTCTTGCTGCTTGCCCAGATCCACCAGCTCGGCCTCGACGCCCTTGAGTATATCCTCCAGCTGCGAGTTACCCACCAACCACGCGTTCTTCCCGAATTTCTCCAACAGCCCCAACTGCGTCAGCCTGCCCTGCACATACTCCGAGCTCGTGTACGCCTGCTTCAGCGCTTTATTCCACCGCTCCAGCAACTCCGGCCTCTCCTCGTCGCTCGTCGGGGTCGTGCTCTCGGGCGCATCGAGATCCTCATAGCGCTTCAAATCGACGCCCGACAGCTTCGACGTAGGGTGATCATCCAGCCGCGCATGCTCGCGCGTGATGAAGTCGGAAAAGGTGGGTGTGTATTTCGTGGCTGCAGGTATAAGCGCCGGATGCATGTCTGTTGTGTCTACGCCCGCGGCTCTGATATCGGCGTTGATGGCATGGCGAGCGGCGACCAGGCTCGCAGCTGAGAGCTCCGTATCGACGTCTACAAGTGGTTAGCGAGGCAATACGGGGGTTATCAGTCCAGATGTCGCGCGTGACTGGGCGCATCGGACATGGTTGCTGTGTTGGGGCAGGAGCAAATTGGACGTACAAGGGAGATGGTCGTAGGATTCCTGGATGAGGGGCATGGCGGGCAAGCGATGTGCAGCGGGCCGGATAAGGGCGAGGTAGATGATGGTGTATTGAATGCGCAGGTGAAGTGGAAGGGTGTCGCGAAACTAGACGTGCTAGAGAAGCAGGCCTGCACGGGTAGATTTAGGCACTGATCGCGTCCGGGCTCCCCGCCAACCAGACGGCGAGGAACCCCGCAACGTCATGCAATGCAGGTGCCAGGCGCGACTGTCAAGCCTCGCGCTGCTGTGTGGCCAGAGGCGATACTTTGTCTCCCCTGTCTATCTATCTTCCTTGCCAATCGACTGTACGCCCATGTGCAACCCTCTACACGTCTGGCACGCGTAGCTCCCGGTGCCAGCAGTAGCGTACAAGAACCTCGCCGCGCCCCGTCCAACGGCTTCCAGCTTCTTTCCGCACACTTCCGCCCAGACATTTCTTCGCGTCCATGGCGCGCTCACACATCGCAGTCGCACTGGGTGCGGCCCTTGTTGCTTCGTTGATCATCGCCCAGCTCGTCATCAACCTCGGATTCCCCGTCGTCGACTTCTGGCATGCGCGCCTCGATCAGACGTACACTGGAGCCCAGCAGGACGTCTTCAACAGCGAGAAGCAGGATGGAGGCCAGGCTGGCGACGCTTCCTCGTACCTTGTCGGGGTTGGCAAGGCGGATATCACTGGGTAGGTGGCGAGAATATCACTATGCGACTGTACTAACGTCGCCACAGTCCCGTCGTCGAGCTCAACATGATGGGCTACGCCAACTCGTCGCAAATCGGATCTGGACTCCGCCAACGCCTCTACTCCCGCGCCTTCATCGTCGGCAACCCGGACGAAGCCAGCGAACGCTTCGTGTACCTCGTTCTCGACACCCAGTCCGGAGACACTGCCATCCGAAATGGCATCTTGGAAGGGCTTCAGGCCATGGGCTCCGAATACGCTGTATACGGGAAGAACAATGTCGCCGTGACTGGTACGCACAGTCATGCCGGACCAGGAGCCTGGTTGAACTACCTCCTCCCGCAAATCACAAGTCAGGGCTTCGACAAGCAGAGCTATCGTGCGATCGTGGACGGAACACTATTGTCTATCAAGAGGGCGCATGAAGGCCTTACCCTGGGAACTGTCAGCGCTGGCAGTGCGAAGATCGCTGATGCGAACATCAACCGTAGTCTGTTCGCCTACCTCGCCAACCCCCAAGCAGAACGCGATCGCTATACAGACAATGTGGACAAGACCATGACACTTCTGAAGTTCACGAGAGCCAGTGATGGAAAGAGCATTGGAATTCTGAATTGGTTCCCTGTCCACGGCACCAGCATGCTTGGAAATCAGACGCTCATTGCTGGAGACAACAAGGGCGTGGCCGCATACTTGCTGGAGAAGGATATGGAGGCCAATGCGGCCGACTCAAATGCTGCTGAGGGCTTTGTGGCAGGCTTCTCACAAGCAAACGTCGGTGACACGACGCCCAACGTACTCGGCGCCTATTGCGAAGACGGTTCAGGCCAGCAGTGCCGACTCAACGACAGCACCTGCGGAGGAAAGAGCCAGGACTGCCACGGTCGTGGACCGTTCTTCGGTCTGGACGACGGAGGCCACAAGTCCTGCTACGAGATCGGTAGGCGTCAGGCCGAGGGTGCCAGGAGTATCTATGACTTCAATGCCTTCACCCCCATCTCTGGCAAAGTCCGCTCGTTCCACACCTATGTCGACTTTTCCAACTTTACTTTCACCCTTAGCAATGGATCCGTCGTCCACACATGTCCCGCAGCCATGGGTAACTCCTTCGCAGCCGGCACATCTGACGGCCCCGGCGCCTTTGACTTTGTCCAAAACGACCCCGGCGCGCCCTCGAATCCCTTCTGGAACCTCGTCGGCAGCGCCATCGCACCACCAAGCAAAGAGCAAAAGGAATGCCAGTACCCCAAGCCCGTCTTACTGAACGTCGGACAAGCCAACGTACCATACCCCTGGTCCCCAAACATCGTCGACATCCAAGTCCTGCGCGTCGGCCAACTCGTCATCATCGTCTCCCCCGGTGAAGCAACAACCATGTCCGGCCGCCGCTGGCGCGAAGCCGTCCACAACGCCATCGTATCCAGCAACATCGCCACCTCACCCATCGTCGTACTAGGCGGCCCAGCAAACAGCTACACGCACTACATCGCCACAGAAGAAGAATACAGCATCCAACGCTACGAAGGCGCTTCCACCCTCTACGGCCCCCACACCCTAAACGCCTATATCAACGCCACCCTAACACACCTCCCCTACCTATCCGAATCCTCCCTCCAACCCCCTCCGCCCGGCCCCTCGCCCCCAGACAACCGCGACAAATCCATCTCCCTCATCACCGGCGTCGTCTACGACGGTGCCGGCTTCGGCCGCTCCTTCGGCCAAGTCACAAAAGACGTCCTGCCTACCTACGCCCGCGGCGCCACCGTCTCCGCGACCTTCGTCGGCGCGAATCCGCGTAACAACCTCCGTCTTGAAGGCACGTTTGCGGCTATAGAGAAACAGAGCAGTAGTGATGGTGATGGTAGTGGGGTGTGGACGCAGGTTAAGAACGACGAGGATTGGGAGGTTGTGTATCAGTGGAAGAGGGTGAATGGGCTTACGGGGACGAGTGATGTTACTATTAGCTGGGATACGCCGGTTCTGGGGACGGAGAAGGGGAGGTACAGGATTAGGTATTATGGGGATGCGAAGAAAGTTGGGGGAGCGGTTGAGGAGTTTGAGGGGGTTAGTGGGGTTTTTGAGGTTCAGTGAGGGGGTTTGTGGTATGAATGTTATGTGATATATAGGGATGGGATGGGAGGTGTAGTTTATACCCGATTTTGGTCAGAGAATGAATGAATGTTATGTTGCTTCTCAACTTCGGAAGTGTAACATTGCATATGAGAGGAGAAGGACATGACGCGGCATACGACGTTGGGTCAGGTGTATCCTGATCACGAGAAGGCTACATTATCACTATTGCTCGGTTTCCCGCTTACGAGGGGTTTTGTTCACTCCTGTATGCGCTCTCGTAGTCCTTTTCCGAATTTTCGTGATGAGTGTTGCCGACAAGTACAGCCGCTTCCAATGTCATTCCCCACGCCCTCTGTGCTACTCTCCGTCCTCCAACTCCATATCATCATCTTCAAGCTTGACTCGCTGCCTATTCGGTAGACCACGACTTCCTGGCCAGCCTGTCATGCCAATCTCCATGTCATTGACTTGGTGTGAGCCACTGTGCGCTTCTTCACTCTTGTCCTGCTCCTTTCTGAGCGCTTTCTGCAGCTTGCTCACAAGTGCTCTGTTCTTGGCCCTCTCCACTGAAAGTTGTTTGTCCAGAGCTTCGGCGTCGACGTTGTTCTTCTTGAACGCGCGAGCATCTCTCTCGGCGTTCTCGCCCTTGCGGAGCGCATCCTTCAATTGCTTCTCCAGCTCCGATATCTCTGCTCTCAATGCTGTTATAGTACTCGCTCCCTTGGTGATGACAGTGGGCTCGGGTTCCTGATGAGGCGGCGAGTCCCGATTGTCCGGGTAGCTTGCTCGCTCGCCCGCTGTAAAGTCCACTATCTTCTTCTGAGCACTGGAGAGATCTTGACGGAGTCGAGAGTTTTGTATCTTAATGTCGCTTGTGGTTCTGGTCGAGAGTTTTTCCTGTCGCTTTCTCTGTGCGACAGCCTCATCGCGCTCTTTACAGGCTCGGAAGAATTTCTCTTCGAGGTCGAATATGCGATGGCTTTGCGCGCCATGAGGTCTCGTTGAGAGGCTGTCTGCGAGTTCTTTGCGGAGGCGGGCGTTTTGCTTCTTGAGATCGACCGACAGTTTCTTGGAAGCCTGTTCACTCTTTTGTTCCTTCCTTACTTTCTTCCTTTGTTTCTTCAACGAAGCCAGCATTTCCTGGAGTCGTTGCAATTAGTACATGCTGCATGACATTGTAGTGTGGTGGCTCGTGAGGTTACCTTGGAATGGGATGCACTTACCTTGTCAGTCGGCTCGAGTTTGGGAACAACGGCAGGTACGCTTTCTGCTGGCTCTTGCTTCATGGGCACCCATATACCGAGCTCGTCATCTTCTGACTTGATGCGCGTTCCGTACTGCTGATGCCGATCCATGGTGGCTAGGTCGCCGTTGCGGGTTGAGGTGATGTGGAGAAGTTCAGATTGTAGAAGCGGGGTGTTGTAAGGCTACCTAGGTAGCAAACGTGCACGTGGCGAAGTTCACGAACGGGGAATGAGCGAAGTGAAGGTGAGTGCGCCGCCGAGAAGGTACGATAACGATTAGACACATCGCAGGTGACTAGAAGAGTATAGCTCAATGCAAGGTCTAAGCTATAATAACTTCTGTATAAGGGCCGCGTATCTCTGTGCAGCTTTTCGCATATGTCTTGCGTTGCTCGCTATCATCAATCTTCCGTCAACGCTTCCTCCTTGATGAACACTTGTTCCACGACCTCTGCATCCTCGAGTATCTCTCCTTCCTCAAGCTCCTCTTCACTCTCCTCAGACGGATATTCCTCGAAACCATTAAAGCGGTATAACCGATCCGCAGCCTCGCGCAACCGCTCTTCAGCCTTCCTCCTTTTCCTTCCTTCCGCTTTCAGCTTCTTACCCTGATGCTCTAGGTTGAGCTTCAACTTTCTATTACGAGCCTGTTCAGCTGCAACGTTGTCCCATAGTTGCCTTATCACTTCCTTGTCTTCTTTGTCCGTCTTGTGCTCGATGCTGTTGTTGTACGCTTCAGCATTGCGCTTTGTGGTTTCGATCTCTTGCTGCATCTCCGCAAGTCTCTTCTCCAGTCCAAGCTTCTCCAATAGCAGATGTTTAATAGTGCCAGGTTTGCTTGGAGTGGTGATAGCCGCTTGGGTGAAGATGAGGTTTCTCTCAATGTCTTTCATTCGCTGCGCTGAGAACTCGTCGTGAGCCTGTCTGAGCTCCGTCTCGAGACGTTTGATGCGATTTTTATCCTTCGTTGTCTGTCTAACTCGATTGGCTTTCCTGTTGTTCTTTCGCTGGGTGGAGATCGTGTCGTCCTGATGATGTCCGATTAGTGCATGCTATCAGATAAAGCAGTGTAGTGATTCTAGGAGCTTGCTATGGAAGCAGGTGCACTTACGTGATCGATTGGCTCGACTTTAGGAACGACAGCGGGGAGGCGCTCCTCAGAACAGCGCTCTTGCTTCACTGGCACCCAAATTCCGAGCTCATCATGCTCTTCCTTGATTCGTACCCCGTGCTGCTGATGCGGATCCATAGTCGTAGAGGCGCCGTTGTGGCAGGGGATTGAGGTGGTGTGAAGGTTTCAAAATCGGAGGTGGGGTGCTGGTGAGGTGAGCGAGCGCGCACGTGGGAGAATCTTTTTGATGAGGAAGGAGCGAGGTGAAAGTGAGTGCGTTGCCGAGGAGGCGCAATGACGAGGACACATTGCAGGCAGGCGCCAGCGGAAGTGACGAAACCTCGAAGTCTGCGAATGTCCACGATTAAAAGAGCACATCACAATGCGGAGTTTAAGCCATGATAACTCAATGCTTTCGAGCGCGGTGTAGACCGGTTCCCCAACCCACGCCATTGCGCCAACCCAAAAAAGAAACTCGTGATATCATCCCGCTACCTTCCCATCATGACCACTAATCCACAGTCCCCCACTGCGGCGGCCCACCCTCAATCTGCCTAACCTCCTTCTGCCTCTTAACATTCCTCTCATAATGCTCCTCCTTCTCCTTCAACATCCGCCTCTCCACCCCAGCCCTATGCTCCAACTCCTGTTTCCGCTGCTCGATCATCTTGCTCTCAGCCGCCATAGCCTCTCTCAGTTTCCTCTCCTCTGTACTCGCCCGTGCAGCAGCGGCATCGCGCTCTTGCTCTTGTACCAAGTTATGCCAGGCTACTCGTTCCGAGCGCTTCATCCGCTCCGCCTCCCTTACGCGGTGGACTTCGAACTCGTGTTTCTGCTGCTCCAGGGCGGTGTAGTGTTGAGTTGCTTTGGTTTGTAGTTCTAGTTCGACGGTTTGGCTCTCGCGCTTTCTTCGTAGTATGTCTTTGTGGCTTGTTTCTTCGATCGTGCGAGTGTGCTCGAACTTCTCCTTCTCGTGGCGGATTGAGAGCTCGTGTTCCTTTTGCTTGTCTACGAGTTTGGCGATCGCGGGTGGGATGCCTGTTGCGCCGACGGGTTGGAGTGCCGACGAAGAATAGTAGACTGGGGAACAGGCTTTGTCGCGAAGGAGATCGAGTAGGGCCTTTTTGACGGGAGTGCGGGCGGGCGTAGCGATCAGCTCGACGTAAGAGTAGGGTGAGTAATGGAGGCCTGAGGCTGCGTCGCAGTAGATGTGTGCTTCATCGTTGAGGTCTTGCCAAATCTCTGTCTCTAGCAGAGCCTCTGTGATGGGAAGGGCGCTGTAGGCATTGTCGAGCGCGAGGATGACACATGACCTCTCGTTGCGAGCGCGGAATTTGGGGTTTACGCGTTTGGTCAAGAGAAGACGCAGTAGCTGGCGAAACTTCGAGCGATGCGCGGATGTGGAGACTCTTGCGTTCAGACATATCTCCCCAAGGACATTTCTACCGCCATGGAGACGAGATGGGTAGTTTGGATCGTGAGCATGCTCCAACAAGGCCTTCGTGACCTCGACGTTGAGCTCCCTGGCTGACTCATGTAATGCACCATCATTTGCTAGCGAGCATGGCGCTAGTATCTTCACTGTGGCTTCCCCAGACACACTGCTGCTAGCGTAGAAGAGTGCGGATTTGTTCCAGACATCCCGAAGATCCGCATCCGAACCCCGCACGACTAGTGCATTCACTATCTCATGACGCCCCTCACGAGCGGCGAGCATAAGTGCCGTAGTCTCCGAACCGTCAGAAAGTCGGTCAACGGATGCTCCAGCTTCCAAAAGGGCGGAGATTACGGCGTCCGAAATGCGCTTCTGTGGTTGAGCTAATGCCCAAAGCAGTGCGGGCACAGTTTCGGGTCCGCAGGACGAATGGAGAACCGTGGGGATGGTTATTTCCGGATTCAAGCCGCGCCTCAAGAGTAGCGTGATGAGCGCGCTATTGCGTGGGTACACAGTCATGGTGGTGATGAGTATCGGTGGCTTGTTATAGCCGACACCGAGCTGTTCAAGTATGCAACCGTGATCGAGGCATGACTGTATTGCGGCAACGACTACTTCGTCTTGGAGCTTGGAACTCAATAACGCTGGAACGACGACGTTGAACTTGGGGTAGTGACGCATGAGCTTCTCAAAGATGGTGTGACTGTGCTTTTGTGCTGCGAAGACGAAGCATGCCCCATCCGCCGTGTTGACATCCGCGTGATATTGAAGCAACAGATCAATCCAGGGCTCCGTATACTTACTATGCTCGTTGCTGAGGACGAGTCGCAGAGCTGCGTCGATGGCAGACTGTTCTACTCCACGGGCCAGTAGCTCTTGTGCCATTTCACCAATGCTCTCTTTCTTTCCTTCCAGCATCAACTTCTCGTCGGTGAACAATGTACGGAACGACCTCGTGACGTTAGATCGTGATGGTTGGTGACGTCCACTGAGTATTAATGCCATTAGCGAGCTGTTTCCTGAAGCTACCGCAACACTCAACGCTTCGCCATCGTTGTGACTCACAGATGCTCCTTGTCCTAACAGCAACCTGGTACTGGTTGTGTCATTTGTGGCAACGGCCTGTCGTGTCTCCGCGGCAAGGGCTTGGTCCAGAGCGTCTTGTGGTACTCCTAGCTTCAGTAAAGCATTGAGTATTGGTGCCTTTTTGTGGGGATCTTCAATCGCTGTCGTGTACTTGAACGCGGTGCTTAGCAGTCTAGGGCTGGCAGTGAGCAGCCGCTCGATGATATCAATGTTGTCGGGGCCGCCATTGATGGCAATCTGTAAGGTCTGACTGGCTGGCTCTTCTTCAATTCCATGGTTCAGAAGCAAGTCAATGATCTCGAGTGTTTTTGAGTGTCTGCCCGCTCGTGAATCAAATGCTAGAGGTAGGGCTGCCGACGTCGCTGAGGAGTTGGGTCTAGTGTTGCAGAGTAGACGCAGAAGAGAGATGTCGACTTGTGTCACTGCGAGCGACAAGGCTCTTTCGTCAACATTTGCACCTTTGCGAACGAGGTCTGTTATCAGGGCCCCATCCCGCCCAGCCGACGTGTCCGCAATTGCATTGACTAGAGCTTGATCAACACCAGGACCACTTGCACCGTGCTCTAGTAATAGCCGCGCAATTTCACGTCGCTCCGATACCGAGATCCCATCAGTACGGAAGATGAGCGGAAACACGTTCGCTAGGGTCTCTGGTGGGGGGCGAGCGTTGAGAATTGACTTGAGTGTTCGGATATCTCGATTGACCACTGCAAAATGAAGTGCGCCGTTGTCGCCTGAATCGACAGGCGCGCCAGCACCAAGAAGGAGATCGATCAACTGAGTGTCTTTCTCCTTTGTGGCTTGCGTGAGCAATCGACCAAGAGGCGGACCTGCTGCGCCTTTCTTTAGCAAGGCATCGACTACGCGAAGTCTATCAGGCTGTGGGGTGTTGGTCGGCAAAACAGCAAGCGCTGCTGTTGCATGCAGAGGGGCGATGGGGGTCTGGAGAATAGCATCCACCAAGCTCCAGTTTGAGTTTTCGACAGCCTCTCTCAGACACTCGGCATCGTCAGCGGTGGTTGGTACGCCATAGCTGACCATCATCTTCGCGCCAGCAGTGTCGTTGCTTCTTGCTAGACAAATGAGGAAGTCCGGTAGACCACGGCTATCTGGAGGTAGCCCGCAGCAGAACAAGAGCTGTAGGAACTGCAGCGTTGCCTGCCGCGTCGGTAGCCTCATGGTAGTGTCGAGCGCATGTTGCAGGTTCGGTTCGTTAAGACGAATCGGGCCAGCGACCAAAGCGATGGCCAGCTTGTAGGCCTGTCTTCCAATCGCCATGTTGAGAGCGCTTGCGGAGTCGAAATTCGGGTCAGCGCCGTATGCTATTAGCAGAGATATGACAGCATCCGAGCCTTGCTGGACCGCTGCAGGTAAGCAGGAATTGATGATTTGAGCACGCAGTGGCTTTGGTGCTCGCAGCAAAAGCTTGACGAAGTTCAGGTCATTCGATCGGACCGCATTTGCCAAAGCATTGGGGAAGTTGTTCAGGTCTGCTCCGTGACGCAGTAAGAGGCCTATACTTTCTTGATCGCCGGCAGCCAAAGCAGCTTTCAGTCCTTCGTCCAAGGTCTGTTGGTCCGCACCAGAGGCGGCGAGGATGTTGACACCATCGGCTTTCCTTAGGCTTGCAGCCTGCTGTAAGACCGTGCTACGGCGGCGCAATGCTGTATTGGCCTGATTACTCGATCTTCGCTTCTTGTCGATTGTCTCGATGATATTCACTTTCGCGCCCAGAGTGAGGAAGGCTTGGATTAGGCCGGGTCCAGTCGTGGGACTGCGGATGACAGCGGACAAGGCTTGGTCGAGCTCCTCCTGTGAGAATTGCGCCCCATCCTGTCCCTTGTCCTTCTCTTTCGAGCTTTTGAAGATGCTCTTCAACACATTCTTGCTTTCGGGATTTTTGGCCCTCCGTTCAAGCAGGATGTTTCGCGCTTGCGAGATGTCCTCGTCGCTGACCGAGATGGCCGGCTGTGTTGGGGCCGGGAGGACTGCTTGGCGCTGTTCGACGGGGATGACGCCGGCATTACGAATGAGGTCTTTGAGGCTCACTCTTCGTTCCATGGTGTATCGTGGGATGATTACTATCGCACACCCAGAGAACCGAGGCAGCGTATTTCTAAAGAGGTTCTACATGAGGGCGTTGCGTAGTGCACACACGTGTAGGCTGAGGCGGAGCTGCGGAAAGAGCAACGACGCTAGCTCGATCCGATTCGACGAACTCAGGGCCGACGATATGGCCGTCTCACTCGGATCATCACGACGCGAGTCTCCGAATCTCCAGCAGCGCCGGTGATCTTAGATACAGCACTGTCGCCAGAGCATTGCTCTCGGTCTTCTACATCGACCGTATCCAACACGGACGAACACGCTTCCTGCGTACTCGCGTTTTGCCACAAGTGCTGACCTCGGAAACCTAGGGCAAGCCACCGCACGGTCTCGAACCTGGAGGTGCAGGCTGGCCTTCTGCTGGCCTTGCACTAATGCGGACCGACTCCTCACTTCAACGCAGGTAAGGTTTCTGTTACGTTCGACGTCTGGGGAAACGGGTGATGACATCCTGCCTGCAGGCGACGAGCGGCCCACGTGAAGACCAACACGCGGCAAAAGTATCGCGAGACATCTCAACGACTGCGGCGTAGTTGGGTAGCGGTCGCGGTTGTTTCAGCGTGATAGCGGACGAACTGCACACGATATGTTTCCTGCCCCATTTCGGGCCGTCAGCTCATCCCCCACGTTTCAGGTTCTGTGGCAGGTTCTGCAGGTACCCAGGTACCAGTTTCAGCAACACTGTCTACTAGTCACATGGAACTTCTGTCCTTGATGAGATTTCCCTGTAGCTACGCCGCAGACAGGGTGAGATTGCGGCTCTTCTGAAGTGGCTTCCTTCCTAAGAAAGCTAGGGCTCCTGCCGCCTTAGGTTCGACGACGGCGCATCGTGGCGTACACGACGAATCTTACATCACGAACTTCGCAGGGCGCCATTGAACTTTGCAGGTTATATCGACGACCTGTTATGATCTTCAAAATCTCTTAGCAGCTTGGCCAACCTCGAAGGACCCACGGGTTGTTTGTCTGCGCAAACGTCGTCAACGCTCTTCTCCCGCAAGGCTGGGATGCCTCGTTTCAGAAGACCGTTGGCCACACTGACTCGCGACAGTTGTGCCTACGCGAAACCGCACTCTCGCCCGACACCACGGCACTTCAACCGTTAATCCATGCCCCAACGTATCTTGATCCTGTCGAAACACCAACATCGACCTAAGGATCATGTCAAACGTTTTGACATTTTATCACCCGCATTTGCAATCTAAATCCATGTAGAAGCTACCTGAGAAGGTCCGACGAAGGAATGACAGAACTTTATATAAGTCGTCTGACGTCTTCATCCAGGTAGGACCAGAGGAAGCGCAATTATCCAGCTTTCAGCCTTTCAGCCTCCTTATTCCATTCTTCATTCGTTTCTTCGGGCTCTGGTAGCTCTACATTCGTTCGCATACTCGTTAATTCCAACAACACCTTCTTTCTTATCCACAACTTCAGGATACACAAAAGTCTCTCGATTTTCAAAAGCCCTCTTTACCGGAAACCGTCAACATGCACGCCTCACTCTTTCTCACGGCCTTTGCGCTCATCCCAATGGCCATGACCGCGCCTTCGCGCCTCCCGCAAATCTATCCTCGTCAGGATTGCGACGACACCGCCAACACTACCGCGCCCGCAGAGCCAGCGCAACCTGGAGCACCATCTTGCGACCTCAGCGGCATCCAGCAGCCCGCCTCTGCGCTCCCACCACCAACGGCCGACATGTCCCTCGTTCTTGTCGCGCTCGGCATGGGCACACAAAACTACACATGCAGCAACGCGACAGCCACACCAGCCGCAATCGGCGCTCTAGCCCAACTCTTCAACGCCTCATGCGAAATCTCATCCAACCCTACCGCTGGCACTGCATCTCTAGGCCGCGTTCAAGAATCCGCGTCTATCGGCACACACTTCTTCCTCGACACTACTACTCCCGACTTCGACATCCTTGGTCTTGGCAACACGGTGGCTAAGAAAGTCGACGATACGCCTGCGCCCGATGCGACTAAGGATGTAAAGTGGCTCAGGCTTGAAGCGCAAACAGCCTCAACCAGTGGTGTCAAGATGGTGTACCGTCTCAACACTGTGGGTGGAATGGCACCGGCAACTTGCGATGGTATGACACCTGGTCAGGTGGTTACTGTGGATTATGAAGCGCAGTACTGGGTCTATGCTTAGAGACGGCCGTCTCTGTTATGGTGTAATCTCAGAGCTGGCCTCATCTGATCTTTTATGAGTGGTCGACTACGACTGCAAGACGTTATGTTTCTTTTCTTGGCAATCCAGTGGGAGGATGGGATGATGATTTCTTTTCAGCTACGGTTTCTTTCTTGTTATTTCCTTTGATACACACTATTTTGGGGAGGCGGATTTGCTTTATCGATATGTAGGATACGTGAACAGCTCAATGTAACAACATGGACATCGCGAGTGCAGTTCACATGTGCTTGCAGTCAGCATCTACCCGCTTACTAAAGCAAACTACCTATGCTCACTCAGGCATTTAACTTTTCAGTCATTGTTGATCGAAATTAATTGTATGGGCATGAGACATTCTATTGATCCAACTAAGGGCCACGTACATCGAACATTCTTAAGCGCTCGAGTAGATGAATCCCAACTGGTCAACCTCGTCGCCCGAACGACCAAGGAAGCCAACAATACCACGACCAGTCCCCGCAGTCCTCGTAACACAATCATCCGTCTTAACACCAGTAGAAACCGTCTTCCCAGCACTAGTCGTAAATAGCGCATAGAAGATCCTCGTCTTACCGTTCTTCTGACCCTGACACAGCTGCGCAGAAGTCAGCGTCTCATCCGCAGCCAAAGTGAGCATAGTCGCCTCGCCACCAGTCCCACCATGCGAAAGCGTCTGGCCAGAAGTCAAGCTAACGGAAACAGCATCAACGCGCTCCTTGCCACGGAGCGTGATGGAAGACACCTTCGGGCTGGCGAGACTGGAGATGGCGCTCAGATCATTGTACCACGTACCTTCTTCACCGCCAAACACATCAGACACGCTTCGGCGGGCATTCAGGCTCCAGGAAAAGTCAACGAGCACACCGTTGTGGTCGCTCAACAAGTCACCGTTCTCCTGGAGGAACATGTGGCCTGCGTAGTCGAACTTCGTGGCCTTGAGCGTTACAGCGTCAGAGCCGCGGTACCAGGTCTTGTCGACGATCTCGCACTCGTTAGTCGTGGAGGGGTTCGAGCAGAGAAGTGCGTCGGCGCCCTTGGCAGGTGGGACCCCGTTCTTGACAAGCTCGAGCCACACATCTGTCATGCCGTTTTCGGTCTTGAAAACGTCGGGGATGTCGTCGGTGCGTGTGTAACGCGAGTTTGAGTCGCCGAAGACGACGACGGCGTTGCCGACGGAGTTGGCCTTGATGTAGTCGGAGACTTGGCGCAGGTTGGCTGCGCGGGCCTTGTTGTCGGCGGCTGTGGTGCTATGGAGGGTTAGTGGGTTGTTACAGGGTTGAAGGAAGTAGGTGACTTACCCAGCGTCGGCGTGTAGGTTGTACATGTCGACTACTGCGCCTTCGGCAATCTTGACACGCATGAAAGTGAAGCCCTTGGGTGTGAGGCAGTCCGCACTACTGTTGACAGAGTGTTATGTCAGTGTCGTACTATGCAATGTGTTTGTGCCATCGTTTGAGCTTGACTTACTCGAAAGTACTGCACGTGTTCCACTTGACTCGCTGAAATCCAGTGTAAGGATAGTTGCTCAAAGTGTTCAAGCCGCTGCCAAATGGCACTCCTCCGCTGGTAGGCGTCCTATATGGGTGATCGTCGTTGGCATATAGTGTGGCATGGTAGTTGAAGTCCTCTTGAACGTTGATGACATCGATATCGTATTGAGAGAACAACTTTCCAATACGGGCAGTGTTTGTTGTCTTATCACCGGGAACATCGTTACCGTTCAGAGCAGCAGGAAGACCAGCGACATTGAAAGTGAGGGTGTTGAACGTGCCGGAGGTTTGGGCAATGGCGAGGGGAAGCAGGGAAGAGAGAGCGTAGACGGAAGCCAGAATGGAATGCATCTTGAACTGTGTTGAGGACTTGACAACTTGATCGTACAGTCTGATCAAATTTCTACCAATGTAGGCTTGCTCTTAAGTATACAACGACCTTGATGTTGACTCGCAGGTGTGGTGCGGGATAGGTTAGGCTACCTTAGACGTCATAACGAATGGTAGGCCAAAGGGATGGCATGTGTGTTTACATGCTGCGCAGTGCACATATTGTTGCAGGCATTGATTTCGGAGGTTTACCGTTGCAGGAAGGACCAATAGCTCACAGGGCTCGGGTGGGTTAGCGTGCCCGAGATCAATGCGAGATCATCCGGGATCCCTGCGCACGTGCGATGGAGATAGACGTTGGGTGGCAGGTTACTCGAGCCTGCGATAGGAAATATAGAGTGAGACGGAGAACTGAGAAGCGTGTGCAATTGTCGTGGTTTGCTTCGCACACTGGCGGTGGTTGTGGTTATAGTTTTGCAGCACCGCGAATCTTGATCCACAGCCCCTCGACTGTAAGTAGCGGCTTGCCCTGTCGATCCCTCATCGTGGCTTTCATCCGCATTTTGTTCCCTGTGTCCCCAAGTACAATCGTTTCAATGCCGACAACACCAGGGCATAACACCGGCGCCAGAAGCTTCACGTCCATGGTGGCTGTGGCTAATCGGCCCTTAAGCACCTCTTGTGCCGACTTTCCATCGTGAAGCTGGAGTCTCCAATAGTCTTCTCCTACTTTCATAAAGCCAAGGCCATGTTCAAGCACAGTATTGGCAACCAGGATATGCAGCATTGCTTCGTCCATGAGCGTCAATAATGCGCCACCGTGGCAGATGCCGGGAAAGCCGTTCAAGCCGGTTCCATACTTGATCAGAGATATCGATTTTGTGACTTTGGCGCCTGGCGCCGGCTTCTCGTACAGCTCGAGCCAGTTTCTCACGCCGTTGTTCGCGCGCATTGTGTCGC